GCGGTCCAGGCACTGCCCTGACTTCTGCGGGAGGTACAAAGCACCGTGGCCTGTGCAAAGAGCTTTCGGGCTGTGTCTCCGTAGAGCACGGAGCGAGGACGGGCGCTGCTCCATGGAAATGCCTGCTCAGCGTTCGCGCACCGGGCGTGTTCCGGTGGAAGCTTTCACTGTGGGTTCGGTAGTGGCGTGGACTAAGCTCGTGGTGTGCTCGTTGTGTTTCAGAATTTATATTTTTTTAGAATTACTGTTTGCCTTTGTGAGAAGGAGTTGCACTATAAATGAAAACTTCCACAGCGGTTGGAGCTGCTGTGTACCTACAGCACTGCAAGTGTATACAGAGATTATTACTTGCACAGTGTCTTATTCTTGATAAGCAATAAGCTGTGTGAGTTACGAGTTATTTGAAACAGCAGACTAGCCCATAAAACATGTCTTGAGCAATTTTCTGTAAGGAAAATCTAATGTTTGGAGGAAAAAGGCCAAGAAAACCCACCACCACCCCACCACAACCCTCCAAGAATAAAACAAATACATTAAAATTAATTAATTGAAACTAGAGACTTGCCAAAAAAAGCCAAGGCATCTATGGGAATAGAGACAGCCACTGCTTTCACTGCTGAAATGGTTGCTAGTTTGGTTTCATGAATTGCCTTCAGGTATATGTGTTTCATGTAGTATTCTAAGTACTTGCTGCAATTCAGGCATGTAACTTGTCCAGTTCTGGCTCAAGAACTTGCCCTTGCAGTAGCAGCATGCTTCAGAGTGAGAAGAGAGCACCACAGTGAAACTGTCTTGTAATTTGCTGTAGTTCTATGTTAAGATGAACTGGAATTGAGAGAAAATACTTAACATTTGTAAATATACCAGAATTTCTGGAGAAACGTTTTAAATACACAGTTCCTATTGCACTTTCTCTTTCAACTTTAGAAAAATTGAGCTACTCTTTGTGGGTATTATGGTTTGGTTGTAAAGTCCATACCAATACTTTTTTTTCTCTAAAATTCTTGATCAGTGAAATTTATGATGTACTGAGCTTTCATGAAGAAACATTCCCTCTCAAACTTGTATTTCTAATACCTGTTTTAGCTAGACCTGTACAATTCCTGGGAGGTGACAGTATAATCCATGGAAGAGGTAATGAGAGAAGCAATTGAACTTTGAAGGGTTGCAGCATTCTGTAGTACCGGGTCAGAAGTGATAACCCTCTCACGTAATCTGCGAGAGGTTAGACTATATAAGAAAATAGGAGGGATATGAGAAAAAAGTCATCATTTCCCATGGATTCTCTTCAAGACATGCTCACAAAATCTGGCAGTGGGTGTTGGTACACAGATTTAAATCAGAAGGAAGAAGACTGTTACAGGGAGTATACCATTTTCATTGGTTTGAGCTTTGTAAAAATATTGCAGTTTTATGGAACAGGGAATCTGCTGCTACTCTGTGCTGTTAACCTTGAGGTACAGCTGGAAGTTGTGCCTTCCTGTCAGAAAAAGCTTTGTATATATGGATACTATTTCTCTTGAAGAAATTGAATTTAGTTTACTAAAGCTCACTTCACCTTTGTTAGTATGGAGAATTTTTTTGACTCTCTCTTGTGTACAACTCAAACCAGAGAAATCTTAACCATACGAGTTTCATCTTACATTAGAGCGGCTTAAAAACTTTTAGTTTTCCCAAAGGCGTTGTGTGCAGCAAATGCCTGACACAAGGAGTTGCAGTAACATATATCAGACTTTGGAACAAAACAGTGTGGCTAATCTGTTCAGGCACCGCTTATGTAATTGGATGATGATGTGTATTGTGTAATTAAGGCAAAGGTGGTGGCATTTCATGTTTATGAAGATGCTTGATACCATTTTTCCTACAGCAATGCAGATAGACTTAATAATTGGATTCAGATCTAGCCTGTAATTAGTGACTTTATTAATAATTGCCAGGAATGTACATCAAGGTAAATGACAGCAGGACTTGGTCTATTTTGGATTAATCTTTGAAACAGTTTTGCTTTTTCTTGACACCTGACAATTTTACATCCTGTTAGTACAGCCTTGGTTTATTAGCAAAATTGATGTGTCTTCTTCAGATGAGACAATCCCTACCGTCATTACCCTAGCGTACATTTATAGGGTAGTATTAGTACCACACAAGTAGGTTCCAGCAACAATCCTTAAGTGACTCTGTCACTTTAACAGTAGCAGACCTGACCTTAGGTTTGAACTCTGCTCCCAAGAGATGGGAATAATTGTAAACTTTTTTTTCCTGCTTGAATTGCTGTTTCTTTGGACATCTCTATACTTACTTCAGCTCTAGGTGCTTCTACAGATGAAGAATTAAGTTTCATGCTGCTGTGAGACCATGCAAAATGACTGCTCCAGAGAATTAGGAGTAACCCTTAGTCCCTCTTGTGACAGTTAAGAGACCCACATGAGTTGGGAGGGGAAAAATGGATTTGTTTTTCCCCAGAAAAAAAAAGGAAAAAAAAAAGAAAAAGATATTTCTCTGAGGTTGTGTGTGTGCTGCTCTCTTCACACAAGGTATGGCAATAGCGTTTGTTGATTTATCTTAATGAGATTAATGATTTACTTTCATTATAAAATTAGTGTCCTGTCCCTACATGCAAGAATATCTAGATACTTGAAGTAATTGTAATTCAAGCTGTCAGGCCCATCAGAGACTGTTTCACTTTATCCTGTAGTTGCTCTGTACTGCTGAAGTGTTCCAGTGTAGCTGTTCTCACTGGTGTTAGGCCTATTCATAATCTGAAGATGCTGAAAATGTGATTAACAGTATGTAAATTAATGGGTTTTTCATTTCAGTGCTGGCCGTATTGCATCTGTGCCTCTCAGTGCAGCTGTTGATGGATTTAAGTCACATCTGGTCTTCAAAGAGATTGAAAAGAAGCTCCAAGAGGTATTTGACTACTTCTTTTATCTGCAAGAGGATTTTCATATATGGCAGAACATGTGTGAAACCTGATGGGAATATAGCATCATCAGTCACTTCCTCAGAACTGCTCATTAACACAAATGTTACTGCTTTGGATTTTGTTGTGTCAGAAATCTTTCTATGCTGTGCCATGATTTTAAATTATTTTTTTGCAGACAGTTCCTACCTGCACAAGTTTTTTCAGTAAAGGCAAGTTTAGACTGTATGTGAGGAGATTGCTAACTAACAGAAGGAACTTTAAGTTTGTGTTCGATGATTGTTGCTTGCTTTGTAAGTGCGATTACAATGAGAAATCACATTTTGTCAGACTTAAATCAAGACTATTAGGACAGTGGTCATGTTTCTTAGTTGATAGACTTTAATATAAATAGTTATAGCTTGTGGTTTGGGGGTTTTGTTTTCTTTTTTTAAGTGGTTCTTGAAAAGAAATACGGGGAAGTAGGTATTTCTATGTTAGAAGAAAGGGTGGAGGCTTTTAAATTACCTTTGGTTTAATTAAAACTATTTAAAAATTGTTTTGATGTAAATGAGTAATTCGCACATTACATGGTCATTACAGGAAGGAGAGCAATTCGTCAAGAAAATTGGTGGAGTCTTTGCCTTCAAAATAAAAGACGGTCCTGGTGGGAAAGAAGCAACTTGGGTAGTAGATGTGAAAAATGGTAAAGGCTCAGTGGCAGTTAATTCAGGTCAGTGCTATTTTACTATGTCATTGCAGAAAACACATAAAAGTAATGAAAGACTGTTAATTCGTATTCTGTTTGAGCTATAGTGACCTTGAGCAAAAGTGGTGTAGAGTTACCTAATTTTAAACTTTGTTTATTACTGATGCTTCTAGTGCATTATGTTTCTGACCAAAACCTAAACATCTACTCTGAATTCTGTGTAGATAATTGGATGTTTTCCTAGAGGCTCCAGAGAGATGTTATATAACTTTCAAAGGAAACAGAATTAAAAAAATAAAAATAAAAAATCTAACATCAGGGGTTTTGTTGTTCTCACCTCTTAAAATTTGGGCCAGAAATGTGATTTGAAGCTGTTTCTTGGTTTGTTGGAGACACTGGAAGGCCATAAGCTGGTCTACCTTGCCATATTACTTCTCTGCAGCTAGTTAAACAATAAAACTTCACTGATTTTAATACTGTACCAGCTGACAGAAACTTCAAATTCCCTTTAGAAAAAGCAGACATAAGTAAGACACAGACTGGGTGGCAGTGAAGAACTCTAAAGTATTGGAAATAAAGGATTTGTATCCCTTGCCATAAGAATATCTTGCATCTGAAGTCATGCATCCTAGTAATGTAAATAAAAAGCTAAATACATCAGTCTGTCCTCAGAATATCATATATCTGTGAATCTGCATCATAAAGCTTTTAATTAGAAACATGACAGGAGAATTGATTTGGAATTCATTGACCTGAGTTACTACCAAAAAAAAAGCACTGTTTTCTGTTGTATGGACAACATTTTATCAAAGAGTTAAGTTTAATGAGTGTAGGAAAATTGTGTGGGTTTTAGCCCTTTGATACATACATCAAAATCTGAAAGCTTATTAAAATATTTTTTCAGCTTATTTTTGGTAAGAAGATCCTCAAAGCTTCTGGATTTGAGTTAATTCAAATGAGTACTTTTAGAATGCACGTGTTGTTCCCGTTGAAGGAGAGGGCAGGAAATGCCTGAGATTTCAGTGATCTTCAAGTATGTCACAGGGGAAGACACATTTATTCTGAGCAAATTTAAGTTTAATAAAACTTCAGATGATTGCCAGTTAACATTCTGTCTGGTTACAAGTAGATAATTTTTCTTTTCAAGGAAGGAATTTGCTTCTCACCTTTCAGAAAAGTCCATCCATCTTCAGTGTTGGAGGATCCGTGCTACAAGGTGGCACAGATGCCTGGTGGCTGTTGGGTGAATTCTTGCTGATATTTTAGTAGCGATCCTTATTTGTGTGTACTTCAGGTACCGCTTTTCTAACCATTAGTGTCAATGGATTCTTTGTGGAGCTTCTGTTCTATTACTATTAGTTTCTATTACTGTTTCATCTCTCAGTTTGAATCTTCATAGTCAACTCTATCTTACAGATAAGAAGGCAGATTGCACAATTACAATGGCCGACGCCGATCTCTTAGCTCTCATGACTGGCAAAATGAATCCTCAGACAGTAAGTAGAGCGAAGATGAGATAAGAGGACTGACTTGTTCGTTTGGTTTTGAGTGTGTTTGCGTTGAAATTATTTAAATAAATCCCCTCCTCCAAAATGCCATGGCTGATGTAAAAAATTACAATTCTTGACTTTCTCTGAATGAATTGGCCAAAGTAAGATTCATCAAGAAAGATGGTATCTACGCTTCCAAACAGATGCATCATCAGAGAGCCCGTAGGTAATCCAGAAGGGGATATTAATAGTGCTTGGTTTGCAGAACAGGGGGGGAAACTAGTGTTTTTGTTGGAACTTAAGAAGGGAGGAATGTTGGGCCACCGTTTCCAGGGCTTTATGCCCGTAGTTGGCATTTGTGAAACGAGTAATCCTGATGATGAAAAATAGAAATTGAGGTGAGCATCCACTGAACAGCTACAAATATTTGGGGGTTTTTTTATTCCTCCATGTGTCAAAAGCAGATGTAGTGTACAAGTAAACTGCACATTTAAGTTAATTTTAAGCTGCTGTTCCATACTTCTAAATTTGAAATGCTCTGGATAACGTTCTTTGAAGTTTTTGGTCTAATAATCACAGAATGAATAAGAAGTGTATCTAGGAGAAGTTTGAAGGTAAAACATTACGGAAATATTGTAATGTACATGTAGGGAATTCAGAAGCAATTGCAATTTTACATCTGCGATTTAGATATTCTAGTGCACACATCTTTTTATGAGGTCTGGTGGATAAAATACCAAGTTATTAATGTGTCTGCTTCACAAGCTATATTTGTAAAATTGAATTAATCAGTAACAAAACCAGTAATGGTTGGGGGGATTTGAGTAAGAAATCAGTTGTGTTATCTACTATACACTGTTGCCTTATCATCTTCAGTTGAAATAGCGAACTTCTATTCTGTGAACTGTCATCACCAAAACATTGGGTATTCTGCCCTGCTTTGTATACAGATTCGTCATTGTGATAATCTAAGAAGCAAGCAATACTGCATTTGTTTTCTTTAGATATCACAAATATTTTATTTGTTGATGACTGTGAGATGTCTGCTAGAATTGTTGGAGTTACAAAACTGCAGGCCAGGACGTGCACATACATAACTTTTGGGAGGGGTGCATTTGGGGTGATGTGCTGTATTGCATTTCATGTCATCTTTCTTTCTTTTTAGGCATTTTTTCAAGGCAAATTGAAGATTTCTGGGAACATGGGCATGGCAATGAAACTTCAGAATCTACAACTTCAGCCAGGCAAAGCTAAACTTTGAGGTCATTAGAGTAAACAGTCAGTACTTAATGTTCTTGACAAAAAAAAGTAGAATGAAAGTAGACATTATTAATAATAATAAGGTGCGGGCTGGGTTTGATTGAACCTCTCTCACCTAAACTCTGTGGTTAGAGACCTTAATTCTTTTAATAAATTCCATCAATTTCTCTATGGCAAAGATTTTGTAAGCTAAGCTTGAGGCACTAACTCTTACAAATGGTATATGGTGGATATTTGTGACAATTTTTGTTTTAATCAATATGACAAATTTTATAAAACTTAGGAGTTGAATGACACTGCTTACTGTTTTTCAGGTTAGCTGGGAAGAAAGTGAGGAGGGTTATAAATAGTTTGACATATCAACTAAAGGAGATGAATTTTTGTAAAAGCTGTAATAGCAGGTCACATAGATGCTCTCAGACTTCCGTTCTAACAAATTTGCTGCTGCTTAAATTAAAATAGTCTTATAAAGGGGATCTCTAGCAACATATTTTTAGAATAGGCTTTAGGAATTTGCTATAAAGTACTTTTCTTATTACTACTTTGGAATAAAAAAATAAAATATCCAGAAGTAAGTAGGAACTGGAACGTTGCCTTGAGATTCACGGTATTCGATAATATTTCACCTTGAACAAAGATTAGGTTCACCTGGAGAACAGAGAGGAAGTATAACTGACGTTTTACCTGTTTTCTCCTGAGAAAATTTGGTGTTGATCATTATGAAATTGTTATCAGTAATGTAAAAAGCTTTAACTTCTGTTTTGGGAAAATGTATTCTGGTTGGAGGTTTAATAGAAAATTAAATATACCTTTCCTGTTCTTCTCTGTGTCTCTCCTCAGCTGTGTAAACATGGATTGCATGTTAGTGCACTGAATTGACTATTTTATACAGGTTGTCATGCCTGCAGTCTTCTGGTTTTGCCTCCTCTGGCTCTGCCAGCAGATATCCGTAAACTACATCTCAGTCCAGCGTATACACCTCACATCTTCACATATGTGGGCCATGACTGAGGCACTTGCATAAAAGCTTTCAATTCCCTGGTTTAACTAAAGTCATAATAAAAATGAGCTAATTCAGGCCAATCGTTCTGCTTCTCTGGTGTGAATGGTTAACAGATGGCTGAGCAGTAGGAGCGGCTGTACTGAAATGGACCGAAGATCGATCCCGCCCACTATAGGTTCTGACCATTGATACACTGGAAGGAATATTAAGATGGCCCAAACATCTCTATACCCAGAATACTTTCCTTGCTGCCTGTGGATTTATTGGTTTATTAGTTGGTTGATTGCAGCTCACGGACTTGAGCCATGTCTCTATGTAAAGTTCTTGGTGGATAGCCTTTCATTAGTTTGTCCACTCCCTTTTTGAGTCCTTAACAGCTTTTTTAGCTTGGGTCAAGAACTTCTGTGGAATTCCACAAATCAGTGGCATTAGATGTATGCCTTTTCATCTCATACATTGCAGTTTTAATTTACACTTGTTAGTTGCTTATTTTTGTTGTTTGTTATTTGTTTGTGTTTTACTGGAAGAAACAGTGAACAGCTTCAAAGCACTTCTGGTGTTTATAGTCTTGCCCTTTCACCTTCAGGCTTCACAGCTTAAAAGAAGAGGACGTTCTATTTAACTGTGTCATGTGAGGAGACCATCGTAACCTTTTGGCCATTTTAGAAATCTGTTCACAAAAGTTTTCTTTCTCACTGCACAGTGCTCTCTTGACTAAGCAGCATTAGTAACATTAGGTCAGCCTTTCTTGTGAGATTTATGTTATTGCAATTCTGTTATGTTAACTCGATTCCTTGAGGGCAGGATTAGAAAGGTAGCTGGACATACCAAGAGGTGGCCAGTCACTGAACATAGCAGAAGTTTCAACTTTTGATTTCAAAGACTTTGTAAAAAAATGATCCTAATCCTCTAGGCCGAGTGTTTAGCGTGTCAGACTCCCAATTGACATGAGAGGAAATTTCAGCTCTAGGCATTAAAATGGTTGGGAGGGTTTGTGCTTCCTCCATGGACTGTGGTCAATACCCTTTGCAGCTATTGGATTGTTGTTTTTGGGTTTTTTTCCCCACCAGTTGTGATAAATACTTAATTATTTGACAGCTGGAGATGCTGTCAGGTTGGCAGTTATATCTTATCTTTAGTTTCTTTTGTAAAATTCACGTAATTCAGATATGAATTTTCATAATAAAGAAAAAAAAGAGTAAAATAAATTTCATTGCTATAAGAGAAGCGAATAGATTTGTCAGTTGGAGCCAGTGAGCAGAGTGATGCCTGACTCAGCAGTTCTGGCTTGTAGGAATTTGAGTGAATGCTTTGGTTTTGGAGCACAGATTTTATTTTTAAACTTTTACTTGAGTTTTGAATTTCAGTCCTGCTGCTTTGCCTAGTCTGAAGTAGGTACAATGCAGTACATTACACTACACACTTCATACTGTATGTATTTTTTCATACCATGTGTTTTTTTGAAAGTGATTGCTGCTTTTTTAATTTATGTCATTATAAGAAAAGCTGAGGGTCAGAAAATATCTGTTTTCCTTAAGAAAATGTGCTACTTTCTGTGTTGATAAAGATAGCAAATAGGAATTTGTTATGAAATTCTGAATTTGGGATATTTGCAAGAGAGCAGTCTGTGGCTAGATGAAGGCATATCCATGGGCAGATGAGGCAGTCTGCGTGTGTGTGACACCCTGCCCAGTACGAGTGTTGACAGCTGCAAGTGTTAGAAGGGGAACTGAGAATCTGGCAGGTGGCTCGCAGTGGCTTCGTTTGTGTAAAGCAGGTCCTCCTAGTACAAGGTAATCTGGGATCCCTTTGGTAAGCAGCAGAGGGAGATTGGTTTGATCGAATGAGGAGATTGTGAACAGCTGAGTGGTTTCTGGCAGCTGGGTTAAGGAGCTGTTCTTTTGGGCAATAGATCATTTCAGGACGCAGGAGGATGGGGCAAAGGGGCTTGACTACATCTTCCCTCTCACAACAGAAAAAATACAAATAATAATGTCTGAATTTGTCCGTTTCCCATATGTCCCATTCCTCAGAGGTCAGCTTAAACTGTTACCTCCTTGGAACAGGAAATAACATCGCTTCCTGTTTTACAGAGCACTGAGCTGGATGTCAACTCTTGTTAAACAGAAAAGAGTAAGAATGCAATTAGCCTGGTGGATAAAAGGCAGGAATAAATCTCTTAACTATGAAAAATCAACACTCGAGGAAGCAAACCACATGTGGAGAACAAATGCTGGAAAAAAAATGCCAAGTGTTTGGAACAAATTCCTTTATTACTTAAATAAACAGCAGCGGAATTTGTTGGAGTGACAGTGTGAGCATTCTGTATCCTGTATCTGTAAGGATTCATTGCTTATCTTAAAAGGGGATAGCTTTATATGGCCCTGGGTGGATTCTCTGGGAAATGTTATAGGCTGTGATACAGGAACAGAAATACCCTATAATATTGGTGCAGCAGGCTAAAAGAAATGTGGATAGTATAAAACAAGGACAAAATCTGCTGTGCCTGTATCCCATATTTCAGGTAGATTAAAAGCAGTCATGGGGTTTGTATTTTTTATTTTTAAAACAGTACATATCCTCTGGGAGAACAGAAATCTTAAAGTTCATTCAGATCAAGACACAGATGCCAATAGGCTCATGGCCAGGCTCTGTTGTGCATTCTTAGGTTTGAAAAATACTTCCCTTCCTGCTTTGGAGACAAAAACCCCTTTTACTCTTTGTGTTTTGGTTATTCTTTTTTTTTTTTTTTCAAAGCAAATTACAGAAAGTTACTTAAAAGAATTTTAATGGGCTTTTTTCTTTCCTTTCGAATAAAGGCGTGGTATCAGCACATAGCAGTGGATGCT